TGGTTCAGTCTGGGCCATTGTTCAGCGGTGACTCACTCATACAACACCGGCGTCCTCTCGATAATCATTCTTCTTCTTCTTCTTCTTCTTCTTCTTCTTCTTCTTCTATGTGCCGTGTCACTTCAGAACGTTGGAGGCCATGGCTCTCCACAATTTTCTTTCCTTTAGAGCTCTTAATAAATTGTGTCTTTGTTATCTGACCTAAACCTGGCTCTGCCATCCATTTACACAAACAGAAACTCAATAGGCTATATACGTTGTTTTCCTCTGTCCCTCTTGCCTTCAATCTGTCTTGTGAGTATCAAATTTTACAAGCTCTCTTTCCTCATTATATACCCTAGAAATTTTAATTGTCTCTTTCTAATGTCAAGTAGGAATGTCCTTTTTGTCTCCATTTTCTATTAAACTTCGTATTAGAGGTACTGTAAACTCAGAACTGAGGGCGGTGTAAGGGACAGTTGCGAGGAAATATTTATCGGTGTTTCATTTTACCATAGCAACCTTCCTGTTACAACATTACCGTTGCAACCATAGCAATACGATATTTTATCATAACATTTTTCCATTACCATAGCAACATCCCCGATATATATATATATATATATATATTTCCAAATGTAGGTATGAGAATAAATACCTATTATCAGGATTTACAGCAACATAAATAAATATATGAAATAAAATAATATAAAACACCAACAATCACTTTTTAGTTCAAGCTATCACCACAATAATTACATTTATCGTTTTTATTATTCTCCCACCACCATTACTAATCACTTCTACCAATTTACAATAACTATTAGCTACTTATATTATTATTATTGCCACCAATCCCCCTACAACATTACTATCACATCACATCTACTATTATCATATAAACCCGCTATAATTATTAACGTAAATTACCCCCTCCCCCAGCATATTAATACCACCATAAAAAATAACCAATAAGTTCTACAAACCGAAATTTCTACCAGTTACATATACGCAGTCATCAAAAACAAGCAAATAACCAGCTTTAAAATAATAACAAATAAACTTTTTTAAAAATTAAAAATAAAAATAATAGCAATTTTTACCTATCATAATTCTACACAGACCCCACAACACGTATATACATACATGCGAGGAAATATTATTCAACGAAAAAAATAGAAAAATGCTCTGATTGCTGACATGTATACATTCTCGAGACATTCACGAGAAATTTTCGCTACACTTCCAATCTTTGAATTTCAACATACAAATGCGTATGTATAGAGACAACACCACCCATATACATAGATATGTCAAGTACCATACTGCCCACATATGTTTATGCCTGTATGCGTTCCGGCGGACGAGCGAGTGTGTATGTGTGTCTGCGTACCTCATCGGGTGTACGGACATGCATCTATGTTTGCGTTAGCATGAGTGACATCAAGACGACGATTCCACCCACTCCCATAATAACACCAATACACGCAATCTACATGAACCCAAAATTTTTTAAAAAATAATCAGTTTGTCTGACGATCGCAAAAGCGTAAAACCCAGGGTCACAAACTCACATTAATCCAAACAAATATATATATAACGTCATCCACAAACAGACAGTTTCACAGCGCATGAGGCTAGACATCCGGTTGCCTCTAGCTAGGATCGAAACCGGACTGCATTGGTCTCAGTCGGAGATTCTAACCATTAAGCCGTCGGCGTACGGTGGGTTTTATCGTATTTATTTTTTAGAAACACGCCTAGTGACCGACAGTGACTCAATTTGCGAAGAGTCTCGCTATATATAGCTATAATAGTCACTGTTTACCAACCCACACCTCCTCCCCAGAGAGCTCAACTGAAATTAATTTTTCAGGAGCCAATATAACGTCATCCACAATATATATATATATATATATATATATATATATATATATATATATATATATATATATATATATAAATGAATGAATAAAAAAGACAAGCGGGAAAACTATTTTTAGCCGACGCGTTTCGTCCTCTGTGGGACTTTATGAAAGCAAGTGTAGAATTTATTTTCTTGCACGTGTTTATATACAAGGGCAAGGATGTCATTGGTTTATAAAGGCTTTTAAATTTGAGAACGTTCATGAATATTTATCAAGTGGTTGAAAGATTAGTCAAAACATGTGGAGGACACATGATGCCATAATCTGATCACGATTCAAACAATATTCATTTATTAAAAAAAAAAAAGGAAATATTTTTTGAATATTACGCGCTTAATTTTGCTTTACTAGACTTTGAATGGTGGCATTAATCTCCGATTATTTTAGGGCTAAATGCCTGTTTATATTTTAATTTTTTCTTTCCGCTATCTTTTTTCTAAAATGAACAAACTTTTCGATATTTGTGATTCTTTATTCATGTACGACTCTTTCGTAATTAGTCTTGATTTATACAGCTAAAAACCGTTAATTTATTTTAGCTTCTAAAACTCGTCAAAGAAGATACAATGGACTAAATGGGAATAGAAATTCAAATTGGGACACATTAAGAGAAGCTTGATTAACATCAGCAACCGAGATTTTCCCAAACGACAAAGAAAAAATAAAGGAATGGATGACCGATAAAATTCTCATGATGATGAAAAGGAGACAGCAAACAATGCTAAGATAGGGCATAGAATATAGAACTTTGTACAAAGAAATTAAGAATAGATACAGGCAGGCAAAAGAGGAATGTCTCAATGAAAAATGTGTAGAAATAGACAGAATTAGTACCAGAGATAAAGCAGATATACATAAAAGAATAAGAGAACAAGACAAAAGACATATTCATCAACATGATACATGAAATCCAAGGACGGAAAACAGATAATAGAGGAAAAAAATACTTCAGACATGGAACAGAGACGTCGGAGAAAACTTCCATGACGAAAGAGGACATCTCGCAATACGCCAAATTGGCGGCAGTTTTTAAAATTCCATCTTAACAAATACAACTCTGGTTTCGACACAATAAAGTTGCCAACGAAACTTTGAACATCAATGTCTGTTTTTAACTCGACCACGCTAGTATTGTATTATTAATCAACGTGATTAAACAGTTTCTTCCCAAATCTTTTTGTTGCAGTGTTAAAATTTTAAATAATATTAACCGAAATTTCGAGCTTTTATGAGTATTATAACAGTTTTGGCATGGTCAACAAGCACAAAGTGTGGACGGACTTTTTTATGTTGTAATATAATTTGCCGGATTAACTGCCCTTAAAAAGTCCCGATTTCACATAATTTCAACAACTGCAAACAAAATCTTCCTTTAATCATATCCCACTAAATACAGCGCGATAATTTAAAAAAAAAATGTTCGGTTTTACAGTTGATGCTAATGTTTCGGATTATTGTAATGAATCCACAAGAAAAGAAAAAGTGAATAATGTCCAATCATTCACTCTGGCATTCCTTCTAAAGAATCCATTTTTCCTTTTTTGTTTAATTTTCCCTTTTCTTTGCAAAATTCTTATAACAGTTGCCTGACCGACACCGTGTTGCTAGCTAATTCCAGATTTGGTTGATTGGGGTCGAGTTTGCAGGTCATAACTTTCAAATTCTTGAAACAATGGTTCCAAACGGTGCGACGCGTCTCACAGATGCGACGGAAATGGAGTCAATGATTTAGAGACAGTTTCAAAAAATTCATGTGCCAAAAATAAATATGATTTCAGAATTTAAAATCTTATCATGAATTACTCGCAATTGCACGCATGAGTCCCAGTATAAATAGTTATAAATAATTATTGACGGATTTTATCATGGGGATATTTTTGTATTATATCAAGTATTAAGAATATCGTAACTAGAATCCGAAAACTGGGGAGAGAGTTATCAATGATAATGTTCTGACTCGAATTCGCGGTTATCTCCCTTTAATTTTCTCTGCTTTTTTTTTGTTTTGTTTTTTGTTTTTTTTTTTTGGTGGTGGGGGGTTGTTTTTGTTTTTTTCTTTTAAATATGCTTTTTATCACATAAAATTTGCTGAGGCGCAAGCAAACGTTAATTCCGAAAATGCGGCCTAGAAAAAAAAACTTTGGGAACCACTGGAGATCTACCGCTACATGGTTTCTGTTAAAAGTCAATTTTTTTCTATTTTAAACTTAGCAAACTGTACACGACACGTGCTGCTTCCAATCGAATTATCTCCTTAAGTTTCGTCAATTATCTTCGCTTCTGTTGCTATCTTTCTCAACTTGAAAACGGAACAACATGCAGTGTTGCACTTGTATTTTTCCGCAACCATTTTTTTCTCAACGCAGAATAAATGAGCATT